AATTAAATAAAATTAAAACTAAAATCACCCTAATACTGCACTGATATGAAAAACAAATACAATTGGGTTTGGTGGAAAAGATCTGATTTTCAGAAAAATTATAGTTAAAAATTAAGGGTAATACTAAATTCTAACGACTAGCAATCAAAATACCTCTAAAGCAGATAGGAAATTCTATAAACAAAATAAGATTAATAGAAGCTTTATGATTTATGAGAAGAATGTTAGTTAACTTGTGCTGGTTCATTCACAAAGCAGCCATCTTTTGGAAATACACCTGAGACAACCTCCAAATAACAAAAATCCTGGTTTCAAACTAATTAGATAAGAACTATCAAATTGGAACAGAACTGTTTAAGGAAGAACTGGCCAGAGGCCTAGCTAAATTTTCTGGTGATCTACACCTCTCCCTTGGCCCCCTTGATATCCACTCATTTAGCTAGCTGTATAGTTGTGTCTGAAGGGACAAAAATGAGTGCAAGAAAATGAAAACCTCAAGTGACAGTTTCAAACAGCATTTAACCTTGGGAAACAAAAATTACTTGAGAATTTGCCTACACACATACTCTCTTCCTCATCCCCCCCCCACCATTACAACCCAATTTCCTATTCTCTGATAAGTCTTTGGTTTAAAAAAAAAATCCTTATAGATGTTTAAGGAAAGTCAAAGGAAAATAAAAACCTCAGAATTTCCACAAAACTACCTATTCTCTATTGGTAATAATAATTCTTAATAATTCGATCAGTTAACAGCAACTATCCTTAACATGATAGAAAAATCCATATAATTTCTGAATTTTAAAAATTTTAAATGATTCAGTTCAAGTCAACAACAAGTCAACAAACATTTACTAAGTGTTTACTATGTGCTAGGCACTGTGCTAAGCAAGGTCTGGGCCACACAAAAAGGCAAAAATATCCTTGCTCTCAAGGAATTCACATTCTGATGTAGTAGAAACAGCCATGAAAGATTTATACCACGTAAAAAAGTTTTTCCAAATTCAACTGCCTCTAATATATCAAATAAAAATTCATAGGAAATCAAGAATAGAAGTTTAGGCAAAACAGCAATATCAAACTTTTGCTTGGAATTCTGGATTTTTTTGTGCGTATACTTCTTTGTGATTTCATCTAGAAAAATAGTCATTCCAACATTTATTAAGCAAAGACCCATACTATGCAGGAGAGGGGAGAAGCAGGGAAAAGGAGAGATAAACAAGACAACCCTTATTTTCAAGAGGCTTACAATTTAGTAGGCAGGGGGTAAAAAGCAAGTGCAAATTAGTTATATGAAAAAGGATAAAAAAAAAAGCAAAGCAACTTCCGGATCACTGCTCCACAGTGAACAGCATTAAAATAGCTTTTTGTTTCCTTGAGAATTATAATTCCCAGTGCCCTTAGTTAAAAGAATCAGTCTGTAAAAGTATGATACCTAGTCAACCATTGTATTAACTGAAAATGAAACATCTCAAAGGATTAAATTAATTTGTTCCAGGGATAAGAAAATGGCCTGGCAAACTAATGTCTAATCTGTAACAATAAGATTCTACACTTCAATTTTTTGCTGGTTGCATAGGCTTTTAAAACTCTGAAGGTTTTTTAGTCATAGAAAAATTCCAAATACTTAGCAACACATTTTAAAATACATCCCTATGTAGGAATCCTGAAAAGGATGCTCCAACGCTCACATTTTCTTACTGCCATTTGAGAAATTGTCCAGCAAAGTCTGACATGAACCCAGATAGTTCCTATTGGTTTTTAATTATTCTGAATTTAAGATATTTTAGATTTTCCCCTCTTTTTCTGTTCTACTTTGCATATAGAATGTTCTCCACCAAATTCAAAAATTTTTAAATGGAACTTTTTTTTTAAAAGAGGGGAAAAAATGTATTTCAGACAAATGACATTCAACTCTAAAACTGGACCCAGTTATAATTCCTGGTGACCTTCATCTATCCCTCTATCCTCTAAACCTTCCCTTTAGACAGCTATAGCTTCTGAACTGTTAAAAATTATTCAAAAATATTTAATTTTCAATCCGTGTAGTCTGTTTCTTGTCTACCCAGAAAGACTTGGTATAATTACTTTATCCTACTGCCATCCCATAACTAGAATCTACCTAATTGGTCTATAACTCTTAAAGATCACAACTTTTACTCCTCCGTTCATCTTGATCCAAATAACAGAAAAAAAAAAGCTAACTCAACTCTACATTCTGTGTCTCCCTACTCTATTTATTTGAAATTTGCTTTAAATTTTTAGAAAACATCTTATGCTTACATTTAACTTTTTCAAATCTTCTTTCATCTGTACTCATTTCATCTTCACAATAATTTGTGGTACAATAAAGTATGATCCCCCTCAGCGGACAGATATGCAAAAGCACAGAGGATTAACAGGATTATAAGGCTAACTCCCAACAGTAGTAGGAGAACCCGGAGTAGAACTCAGATGTCTGAACAGACAAAATAGGCTAAGCCATCCTAATTTTCAAGGTCTATTTTCATTCTATCAAGTAAAAGGAAGTATTTCATAACTCAAATCCATTGAGGAACAGCTAAACTTTTCTGAGCAAAATCCACATAACAATGATCTTGTCACAAATCCTGAGGGAAATTTCACCCTGCAATACTATTTTAGAAAAATGAACCAAAGCCCAAATAGTTTACTAGGTCAGCAAACTAGGAAAAAAAAAACCCTATCCTTCATGACAAGGAAGGCAGTGATTCCATTATTCTACTTTTCCATTAATCCAATGTACATTTCTCCTGACCACTTTTGGTCCCTCCCTTTTATTTTTCAATTAAGCATTTGCTATTCTAAGCATCTTTGCTACAAAATGATCCAGAAATGGAGGCTTTTAATCACTACTATACTGATTCCTTAATAAAAAAAATAGTTGGCATCAGCTTGAGGTGGCTTAAACTCGGAACTAAATGAACTCTACATATATCAGGTACCTTTTATTTCAAGGTTATGAGATTTCTAGCACCAAGAATAAAGGTTCATATTTTCAGAAGACAGCTCTACTATTCAAGGTTCGTTATCCATGTGTTATCCAAATATGATATCACTTAATACAAGGGGAAATCATTCTACCAATTTTATTCCAATCTTGTCACATTGTGCGGAGGCTGAAAACTTAAGAGAGCAGGCAATAGCATTTTGAACTATACTGAGACCAACAGAGCTTTATGTAAATGAGGTTTACAAAGAGAACTCAAGGCACGGTGGAAAATGTGAGTTCAAATCCGGACTCTGATCCAAACTAACTGCATGACCCTAGACAAGTCATCTCCCAAGGCTCCTTGGCAGCTAAGGTGATAAATCAGAGAGGTGCCTAATCTGCTTTGATGGAGGGCTCTTCTATATATATTTCTATATACTGACAAAATCACTGGTCCCAGATCAAAAAAAGTGCCTAGCCATCCTTATCAGTTTACTCCATAATTCCATTTACACACCTTAAGACAGTGTCTGGTACATAATAAGAACTTAAAGAGATGCTTGCTGACTGACATTTATCAGGGCGTTATTACAAGCAAAACACTAAAAGATGAAGCCACGGGAACATTGATCATTTAAGTCAAACGAGCTAAACCTATTTTCCATTTAAATTTCTCTAAGTTGTGTGACCCTCAAAGCACTGACCTCAGTTAACTACTCCTGTGAATAAAGTAGAGACAAAAAAGTTGAATGAATTTTAAACAGCTTGATCTAACCAGCAACCAGGTTAATTAATAAGATACGTCTGAACTAATTTGCACAGTTAAAAGTCATAGGCAGTTTAGTGATACGAGATCTCCTTCACTTCTATTAAACATACATAATCTGCAAGGCACATTCTTCAGAACCTACTGTTAAAGTATTTACTAAAACACATACATGGGAAACAAGTCAAGAGACCCGAGTTTGAATTCCACATCAGTCCTATACATTATGGAAGAGATTTTCAAGTATAGGTGAAACATGGCCAAGAGATCCCTTTCAACTCAAATGTGTAAGTAACTGTGTTATAATCATGGGGAAGTGACCACCTCTCTCTCTGAGCCTCCGTCTCTTACTTTTTTTTTTAAAGGGCTGTTGTGAGGAAAGTACTTTTAAGTTATTACCCTAACTAGCAATAATCAAGTCTTACATCAAAGCATTTTAAACCAAGTTTTCACAAATAAATCACGTTTGCTGTTTTACCTTTAACAATATATACATAGCTCCTTACCGTATCAACCCCATGACTCTGTCAGGGGAAAGAATATCACCACCAACGGACTAGCTCCATCATTCAATTTTCCCCTACCCAGTAGAAAATCCAAGACAGGCAGACAATGAACAACTAGTTGTTGTTTGGGATGGAAAAATAGAAGTAATTTCAAGTACAGTAAAACAAACGGAATCCACATACTTTCAAGTTGGGGGGGGAAAGATTTAATAGTCCAGAAGTCACAAAGACCTTAAGCAGAACATTCCTTCATCTCTGGGTGTGAAAAACAGGAGGGGCTACGAGAAGTTTACCAGGTACTTCCTCCAGAGTGCCCTAAAGACACTCATAAACCACCAGGTAATCAAATGCAATTCCAGGTTAGGAATCTCCGAATTCCCGGGAGTTAGAAATAAGTTCAGGAAAAAGCTTCTCTTCCCCCCCTCCGCCCCAAAAAAGGAACAAAACGGTGTGCCTAGAATATTGCCAAATGAAGTGAAGAAAGTTTTTTGTGTTTTTTGTTCGTTTGGCTGGGGTAGAAATCAAACCTAGAACAGAACCCTAGGAAGAGAATGGAAGACTGGAGTATTAGAAAGTGCGCAGCAACAGCGGCCCGGAGAAACCTGAGAAGAGGGAGCCGGTCCACCGGGCAGAAGTCCGGCCAGTGGCCCGAGGGGCCCCGGGGACACTGCCCCAGGGGGAACGCGGCGTCCAGCCGGAGGCCAGAGGCTGCCCGGGCGCTGGGCTCCGACTATCTGAGGAGAGGTGGGCGGGGCGGGCGGCAGCCAAGGGCCCGGCTCACCTTTAAAGAAGCGGAGCGCAAGGGTGTACAGCTCCTCCAGGCCGAAGCCCCAGAACTCCTCCAGACACAGGGAGTCGTCCGCCGCTGTCACCGGGGCCGGGCCCTCGGCCGCCGCCTCCTTCTCCCCGGCCTCCCGCCGCCTCTCCGACGCCGACTCGGGCTCAGACCCCGCCGGAGACGGCGGCACCAGCGGAGCCCCCTCGGCGCTAGGCCGCTCCTCCTGGTCCGGGCTCAGAGTGAGGCCGTCGATGGAGACTTCGAGCCGCTCCGCGCTCAGCACCCCCGCCATCTCGGGCTGCGCCTCCTCTGCTGCGGACAGGCGGCGGCCACGTATCTACTTCCTGCTGCCCTCTAACCTCCGCCGACCCACAGCGGAACTTCCGGGAAGGAAGTGGTAGGAAGGCAAGTCTGCGTTACCCCGCCCCGAGGGCGTTCCTCTCGCCCAGGCCCCGCCCCCTCGGCGTCTCCTCCCCAGTCACTTTGGGAGGGCAGAACGCTCAGGAATATCCCTGATGGCGACCCGTAGCCCCCACGTGGCAACTGTCTCTTTTAAATTGTTTTCCCGTGACTACAACGGACTCTGATGCTTGGTGTTTAAAGCCCTGCAGAATCGGGTCCCAAGCCTATTCCGGCAGGCCTTTGCACAAGTTCTCCCTCCGTGCATAGGGTGCTTTTCCTTACTTCTGGCTCTTGGAATCCCCAATTCCATTCAAGGCCTACCAAGATCCCAAGACTGCCAGCCTCAATTAGACTTTTTCTGATCTCCCTAATTTAGTTCCATCCCCCATTAGCCCACAGGAAATTACTTTCTATTTACTTTATTGGCAGTGTACACATTGTGCCAGCCCAGTAAACTGTATCCTTCGTCACTTTTAATTTTTTATCTTTCCCCAGTGCCTGGAACATTTAAATGCTTATTGATTTGAATTGCCACCAGACCCAGAAAGCGTCATTCCCTCTCCTCTGGGACCACTCTCATTCCTCTACCCCATACTTTGTCTTCGACCCTGTAAACCCCCTCACTTTAATCAGCAGGCATTTCTTCCTGTAGTATCTATTGTGTGCAGAGTCTGACCATTGTCCATTTTTTCCTATCCTCTGTCCTTTGGCAAACTCACCCATTCTGATGGCTTCGGCTCCGTCTATGCAGATGTCTCCCAAATCTATATTTTTGGCTCTACCCTCTGTTCCCAGCTCCAGAGCCATTTCATTTGTAAAATGAGGTTTCAGCTGGTCCAACTCTGGACCTATGATACTAGGACCTCTAGCTGCATACAGGGCTTGTTCTTGTCCTGCCTTCACTTCAGAATAAACATGTCCAAAACTGAGCTTAATTTCTTCTAAACCTTTTCATCTCCCTAAGTTTCCTAATTCTTTTAATGGCATTGCTATCCTGGTCACTGAGACTCAGAAATTCAGGGTCATTTTTGACTGTTCCTTCTCCCCCACCTTCCTCACAATAGAGCCAAAACTAGGAGTGAACAAGGAAGGCACAATAGGAACTGGGAGCAGGGATGAAAAAAAGGATACTTTTAATAATGCACCTATTCTTAATAACAGAAAAGTCAGATCTTCTTGGTACATCCCCCAAGAATGCTTCAGCCTTGGAATACATACTTCATCAGTACCCTCTGCCTTGGGGTCCATCACACTAAATGAAAGACAGAGAGCCCCTCCCAGAACCTTCATTTAAGGAGGATGCCCAGGCCATCTATCTCTTCATTTTCTACTCTGTTATCTCCTTTAGACTTCTGCATCATGTGCCTACAGGGGTACCTTCCCTCCTGCCCTCACCTTTTCTTTTGTGTGTTTTCTTCCCCCATTAGATTGTAAGCTCTTTGAGGGCAAGGACTGTCTTTTTTGTATCTATATTTCCAGCTCTTAGCACAGTGCCTGGCATATAGTAAGTACTTAATAAATGTTTATCATATTGTTTATTGACAGAGATATTCTATGATAAGTCAGATTGAATGTGTTACTATGATTGTTTAAAAGTTTCTATGAAGCAGTAACCCACCAGTGTACAATATTCAAATATAGCATAACCTTGGCTCAGTGCCATAACTGATCAATGGCCCAATCTTTGTTGATTTTATTTCCAATTCTCACTCTTGTATCCTTCCATTTTTCCATTTCTACTAGTACCCTGATACTGAACCTCATTATTATCTGACCTGAATTATGGATCAATTAATAAGCATTTATTCAGTGCCTAATAATGTGCAAGACACCAGAGATACAAGAACAAAAATGAAACAGTCCTCACTCTCAAGGAACTCACATTCTAATGAGGGAAACGATATGTGAATAACTAGGCACATACAAGATATAAAAAGAGTGGATAGAATGGAATCTGAAAGAGGAAAGGACTGAGTGATAGGAAGTAAAAGAGGTTGGGAAAGGCCTCCTGTAGATGGTGGGACTTGAGCTGAAGCGTGAAGGAAGTCAGGAAAACAGTGGAGGTGAGGGGACAAAGCATTCCAGCATAAGGGACAAACAATGCAAAGATACAGAAACCAAAAATAAAGAGTCTTGTCCAAGGACCAGCAAATAGACTAATGTGGCTAAATTGAAGAATACACAGAAGGGACTAAAGTGTAAGAAGACTGGAAAAGTAGTAAGAGGCCAGGTTATGAAAAGCTTTAAATGCCAAAGATAGGAGTTTATATTTGATCGTGGAGGTAATAGGAAACCACTGAAGCTAATTAATTGAGCAGGATGAACTGACAGGTCTTGTTAACAAGATTTTTACTGAGCCGGTCTCTAACCTGAGAATGCTGGGAGCTGCACAAAGCAGGTGTAGAGGTGGGAGAGCCAGTAATCAAGTAGTTTAAGTAATCAGTTTCAGAGTGAGGAATATTCCCTTTGCTGAAGTAAAAGCACAGGTTATATACTTAAATCACAACTAGGTAAGAATGGGGAAAGGTGGATTACAAACAATCATTTAGTGGTTTCCCACAAGAAACCCATGAGTCCCACAATACAACAGCTCTGGAGTCAAGTCTTTGGGGGTTGTGACCACCTCCTCTAAAGTACAGAACCAGAGTTCTGTGACGGGAACAGGTTCTACAATCTTTGATTTGTTTCACTTCAGGTACGCAAGCAGAAGGATGCTAGTGATTGTGAGCCTTGTCAAGGTTTGACTGATCAGTTCAAGCTGCATTGTGAGTCTAACTCACAAGCTAGAAAAGGCAGCTCTTGAGAAAACTAAATTATTAGTAAATTCATTACACATATATCAATTAATGTGAAAATTTTAAATCCCTTTTTCATTCTATACCCCCAAGACATCAATAAAAGGGGAAAAGGACCTATTTGTACAAAAATATTTATAGCAACTCTTTTTGTGGTGATTAAGAATTGGAAATCAAGATAATGCCCATCAATTGGGGAATGGCTAAATAAGCTGTGGTATATAATTGTGATGGAATATTATTGACAAGCAGAATGATTTCAGAAAAACCTGAAGAGATTTACATGAACTGATGTAAAATGAAGTAAGCAGAACCAGGAAAATATTGTACACAGTAACAGCAATATTGTACAATGGTCAACCGTGAATGACTTAGCTCTTCTCAACAATACAGTGATCCAAGACAAGCCCAAAGGACTCATGATGAAGCATGCTATCTGCCTCCAGAGAAAGAACTGATACTGTCTGAATATAGTCTGAAGCATGCTATTTTTCACTTTCTTTTTTTCATTCATTATTTTTTTAATTCAAATCTTCTTGTACAAAATGACTAACATGGAAATGTTTTACATGATTGCCCATATATAACCTATATCTGATTGCTTACTGTCTCAAGGAGGGGGGAGAGGAAGCACAGAAGGAGAGATAGAATTTGAAATTCAAAACTTAAAAAAAGCTTTAAAATTGTTTTAACATATAATTGGGGAAAAAAACAAAATATATTAAAAAATTGAGCAGGGCGATGACATGCTTTAGAAAAATCACAGTGGTAGTTGAGTGAAAGGTGAATTAGAATGAGGAAAGACTTAAGGCAGGAAGATCAGTTAGAAAGCTAGTGCAGTAGTCCAGGAGAGAGGTGAAGAGGGCCTGACTTAAGGTTGTGGCTGTGTAAATGAAAAGAAAGGGATATATACAAGAGATAGGGTGAAGGTAGAAACAAAAAGCCTTGCAGACTTAAGCAAACAGCTTAGATGTGTTTAATCAGTGCTACAGAGAATTTGAAAATGGACTGAGGTTGCAAGCCTAGGCTACTGGGAGGATAGTGGTGCTGTTAGGGCAATGAACAGAAGGGGGAGGTTTTGAGGGAAAGAAAATAAACTCTGTTTTGAACACACTGAGTTTGAGATGCGTGTTGGACAACCAGTTCAAGATGTTCAAAAGGTACTTTGTGATGCAGCACTGTAACTCAGGAGACAGAAAGGGTTCCATGTAGGTCTGAGAATCATCTTCATAGAGATGATAGTTGAACCTATGGGAGTAATGAGATCATCAAGTAAGATAGTTTAGAACAAAAAGAGAAGAAGACCCTGGACAGAGCCTTGGAGGACACCTATGGTTAGTGACTATAACACGGATAAAAAAACAGCAATTGAGACAGAGAAGAGGTAGCAGGAAAACCAGAGGAGAGCAATAGTGTGAAAACTGAGAGAGGAGAAAATGTCCACGAAATCTACAGCATCAAATGCATCAGCTAAGTCTAAAGCTGAAGTGATGGATATTATAGTTGCTGTTGAGGGGTATGTCCAGCAGACCAGAGGGACAGCTTGGAATCAGAGAACTCACCCAGTACTGTATGTCATGCCCAATGAGTTGTTAGCCAAGTACATTATGAATCACTGAATCAACTCAGCTTAGCAACAGGAGCATCTGTTCAACACAGAAATACATTCAAATTCATTAAAGAATTTTTATGTACAGTTCCTAAGACAGAAAGAGGACAATGAAGTTTCTAGGTAGGGTTGTGAGTTTTCCTGGATATATGGGTTTTCCTTATTTGTGTGCTTTTCTGATGGGTTTCTGTATGCCCGCTCTTCCCCACAGGCACCAAGTACATGGGTGGGAGAATGTGACTCAGATATATGTGTGGACTGTGATATATTTATTAATCTTGCATTTGCCTTATAAGCACCTGTGATATTATTGCTTTTATCTTATTGTTAAATAAGCGACTATATTTATGATCCAATGTATCATCTTTTTGAGTGACTAGGATTGTGTAAATTGAAACTTACTGGTGGGGTTTCTTGAGAGCTATAGCAATGAGTAGGAATGTAGTTCCCCACAACAGGGTTATCTCTAGAACTCTGAGTAGCTGCCCAGTGGTGGTCTGAAACCTGTAAACATGAAGGTAGGTTGAAGTGAGCAAGCCAGCCGAAAAAGAATATGAGTCGTGCTACATACC